TCAGGGCCCGGCCTGGCCGTCTGAGAGGCCCTTGGGTACTGAGGCTTCAAGTGAAAAACGCCGTGGCCGTGTGGCTCTCCGCTGGGCCTGGAGCTCTGGAAAGAGCTCTTTGGGGACGGTTGGGTTATAGGCCTTGACATATGAATGCGGTCAACAAGTATTCATATATGCAATTTCAAACAAGCAGGAAGAGTGGGATACTGAAGGCCCAGGGTCATCACCTGCTTCCACCTTATATCAACTCCTGCCAGGCGGCTCGTCGTAGAATGCCTCTTTATTAACCACTTCATTGACATAATTTACGTACCAGAAAAGTCACCTGTTTCAGTATACAACTTGTGGGTCTGCAGTGTGTTTCCTGTGTGCGTGCTTCACCACTGTCTTGTTTGAGAACTTCCCACCACTCCAAGAAAAAGCCTCCTCTCCACCACTTCGAGGCCAGGCCGGTCTCGGAACGAATTAAACTCTTAAGTCAAGGCCCCACTGTACTGGGGTCTCAGATTCTCTTCCAGTTCAGACCATAACCGCTCGCCCTCTGACCCATACCCTGTCCACTGAGCAGCTCAGGAGACCTGTGGTCGGGGGGGGGGGGGGGGGGGGGGGGGGTGAGCCACAGGGTAAACTGTGCGAGTCAATTTTTAAATCATTAGATCCTGAAATTGTTTAGTTCAGTGGAAACCATAGTTACCGGATTTTAATTTTTTAATTACAATGAAATGTTAAAGTTCAATTGATATAATTGTAGAACTGAAATGTTAATTTCTAATCGCAGGGATTTTCAAACAAGCAGGAAGAGTGGGATACTGAAGGCCCAGGTCATCACCTGCTTCCACCTTATATCAACTCCTGCCAGGCGGCTCGTCGTAGAATGCCTCTTTATTAACCACTTCATTGACATAATTTACGTACCAGAAAAGTCACCTGTTTCAGTATACAACTTGTGGGTCTGCAGTGTGTTTCCTGTGTGCGTGCTTCACCACTGTCTTGTTTGAGAACTTCCCACCACTCCAAGAAAAAGCCTCCTCTCCACCACTTCGAGGCCAGGCCCAGGCCGCCCCGTCTGTGTTCTGTATCTGAACACCACACGGATCGCAGCATGCAGTCCATGTTCTGCACTGGCTTCTTCACTGAGCACATGTTTGAGGTCCACCCATGTTGTAGCATCAAGCAGCACCTTATTCCTTTGTACAGCCAGGTAGTGTTCCTTATAGGGTAGACCATTGCTGTGTTTTTACACTCATCCCAGACACTGCACTTCATCACCATATTTCCAGTCCTCTCCTTAAGGAGGCTGTTTAAAAATGACCACATGAGAATGATTGTGCCTTAAAAATGAGCAGTCATTCCTTAGTTTCCTCAAGTATCAGTCAGTGCTACAGTTTCCTGGTTGTTTCATATTTGTTGTTTTCCAAATTTGTTGCTGAAATTTGGGCTAAAGAAAGAAGGCAGGTAGGCGGATTTTAAATGGCGGTGGAGTAAGTGGATGTTGTATAGACATGCTCCCTGGACCAAACTGGAATTACAACTGAAATATGGGAAAACCTCCAGAATAATTAATGGAGGACGCCCTGGAGAAAACCCTGCTAATAGAGGACAGAAAGTGGAGACAACATGGGGACTGATTGGAAGGGCCAGAGGCGCAAAAGGGCTGGCTGGGCTCCCACAGACAGCAGCTGAAGTCCTGGAGAGATATCTCAGCTGTGGGGGTTGCCACTGAGAACTCTGGGGTCAAATCCCCAAGCTGGGCTCCCCAGCAGAAAGCACCAGAACTGAGAAGGATACCCACATAACATCTGGCTGGGAGAAGCAGCAGGGTTGCTGTCTGCCAGGGAGAGATGACTGGAAAATTCAGGCACCCCTCTTAAAGGGCCAACGCACAAAATTCCCTGTGGAGCCACTCACCTTGTGCTCTGGCAGAGGGAGGGCAGAGTGGACTGCAGCTCTGTGAGCACAGCTGAAGGGTCCCAGGGTCGGGCTCCGGCAAGGTCTCAATACAGTGGGGCCTTGACTTACGAGTGTCCCGACTAACAAGTTTTTTGAGATACCAGCTGTCTCTCTGCCAGTTTTTTGCATTGAGTTGATAGAGTAATTTGAGTTAACGAGCTCCTTAACGAGCTCGGTCTCGGAACGAATTAAACTTGTAAGTCAAGGCCCCACTGTATACATGTCGTCGGATGAGGATTAAAAAAATAACTGATGATAAAAAGTTGAAGGTGTTCAGTTATGGTTGCCACACACAAAATTTTGTCTGCTTTTTTCTTTAACTTTGTTATAATTGTTCTATTATGTTTATTATTATTTAAAAACATTTTTATTGATTTCAGAGAGGAAGGGAGAGGAGAGATAGAAACATCAATGATGAGAGAACCATTTATCAGCTTCCTCCTGCACACCTCACACTGGAGATCAAGCCCACAACCTGGGCATGTGCCCTGACTGTGGCTCTCCGCTGGGCCTGGAGCTCTGGAAAGAGCTCTTTGGGGACGGTTGGGTTATAGGCCTTGACATATGAATGCGGTCAACAAGTATTCATATATGCAATTTCAAACAAGCAGGAAGAGTGGGATACTGAAGGCCCAGGTCATCACCTGCTTCCACCTTATATCAACTCCTGCCAGGCGGCTCGTCGTAGAATGCCTCTTTATTAACCACTTCATTGACATAATTTACGTACCAGAAAAGTCACCTGTTTCAGTATACAACTTGTGGGTCTGCAGTGTGTTTCCTGTGTGCGTGCTTCACCACTGTCTTGTTTGAGAACTTCCCACCACTCCAAGAAAAAGCCTCCTCTCCACCACTTCGAGGCCAGGCCCAGGCCGCCCCGTCTGTGTTCTGTATCTGAACACCACACGGATCGCAGCATGCAGTCCATGTTCTGCACTGGCTTCTTCACTGAGCACATGTTTGAGGTCCACCCATGTTGTAGCATCAAGCAGCACCTTATTCCTTTGTACAGCCAGGTAGTGTTCCTTATAGGGTAGACCATTGCTGTGTTTTTACACTCATCCCAGACACTGCACTTCATCACCATATTTCCAGTCCTCTCCTTAAGGAGGCTGTTTAAAAATGACCACATGAGAATGATTGTGCCTTAAAAATGAGCAGTCATTCCTTAGTTTCCTCAAGTATCAGTCAGTGCTACAGTTTCCTGGTTGTTTCATATTTGTTGTTTTCCAAATTTGTTGCTGAAATTTGGGCTAAAGAAAGAAGGCAGGTAGGCGGATTTTAAATGGCGGTGGAGTAAGTGGATGTTGTATAGACATGCTCCCTGGACCAAACTGGAATTACAACTGAAATATGGGAAAACCTCCAGAATAATTAATGGAGGACGCCCTGGAGAAAACCCTGCTAATAGAGGACAGAAAGTGGAGACAACATGGGGACTGATTGGAAGGGCCAGAGGCGCAAAAGGGCTGGCTGGGCTCCCACAGACAGCAGCTGAAGTCCTGGAGAGATATCTCAGCTGTGGGGGTTGCCACTGAGAACTCTGGGGTCAAATCCCCAAGCTGGGCTCCCCAGCAGAAAGCACCAGAACTGAGAAGGATACCCACATAACATCTGGCTGGGAGAAGCAGCAGGGTTGCTGTCTGCCAGGGAGAGATGACTGGAAAATTCAGGCACCCCTCTTAAAGGGCCAACGCACAAAATTCCCTGTGGAGCCACTCACCTTGTGCTCTGGCAGAGGGAGGGCAGAGTGGACTGCAGCTCTGTGAGCAGAAGCCAGCTTTGGGGCTCTGGGGTTGGTTAGAGCTCAGAAGGCAGATAGCCCAGATAACTGTGCTGAGTCATTCCCTCACTATGTGGAGGTGATCTTTCTCATGCAGACATTTGCTATACAGGTGGCCTTGACTCGGGGGAAGACAGTTGACCCACCCTATTGGAAAACCCATTAAGAGACTGAGAATAACAATTAGCCTCCAAGCAGAAGCAATTGCACCATCCTATAGAAAAAAACTCTTGCCACACCTGTGGACGATTGCCTGAGGGCAATTCAAGACCGAATCCTATCAGTCTGTAGACAAGTCTCTACAAGTTCAAGAAGACTGAAATCATATCAAGCATCTTCTCAGATCACAGTGGAATGAAATTAGAAATCAACGACAGTAAAAACAATTAAAAACACTCAAGCACATGGAAGCTAAATAGCATGTTATTAAACAATGAATGGGCTACCAACAAGTTCAAGAAAGAAATAAAAAAAATTCCTGGAAATAAATGAAAATGAACACAACAACTTGAAATCTCTGGGACATGGGACACAGCAAAAGCAGTCCCGAGAGGGAAATTCATAGCTCTACAGGATTACCTCAAAAAAATTTTAACAATTAACTATTTAACCCTACAACTTAAAGAACTAGAAAGAGAACAAGAAAAACCCAGAGTAAGTAGAAGGAAGGAAATAATAAAGATTAGAGCAGAAATAAATGACATCAAGACTAAAAAAAAAACAATACAAAAAAATCAATGACACCAAGAGCTGGTTTTTTGAAAGGATAAACGACATTGATGAATCATTAGCCAAACTCATCAAGAAACAAAGAGAGAGGACTCAAAATCAGAAACGAAAGTGGTGAATTAACCACTGACATCACAGAAACACAAAGGATTGTAAGAAAATACTATGAACAACTATATGCCCATCAAGCTGGACAATGTGGATGAAATGGACAGATTCCTAGAAAAATACAATCTTCCAAAATTGAATCAGAAAGAATCAGAAAACTTGAATAGGCCAATAACAACTAAGGAAATAGAAGCAGTAATCAAAAGAAAAACTCCCAGCAATCAAAAGCTCAGGTCTGGACAGCTTTACAGGGATGACCAGGGCTCGGGAGGAGACCCGGACATGTCCATGGAGCCTGCCTCACCCGCCCTGTGTCTGTGCTTCTCAGCTGCAGAGGAGGAGACCCCCAGCCCCGCAGAACCCAGCACGGAGGCCCCCGAGCCCCCCGAGGAGCCCCTGCTGGGGGAGCTGACAGTGACGGGATCCTCCGAGGACAGCGATGGGCAGCTCCAGGTGGTGCCTGTGGCCGCAGACCAGCGTGAGGCCACCGTCCCCGGCCTGGAGCCCGCTCGCGGGTACAGGATGCTCGTCTATGGGCTCCACGGCGGGCAGCGCCTGGGCCCGCTCTCTGTGGGAGCTGTGACAGGTGAGTGAGGGCCAGGCAGGCCCCAGCCATGGCTTTCCAGAGCCCCCACACCATCTCTCTCAGGTCCTGCCCCAGCCTCCCTCTGCACGCCCTGACTAAGTGGGAATTCTTCCAGGGATGCAAGGCTGGTTCAATATTTGCAAATCAATAAAAATGATATATTACATAAAAAATTGAAAGGCAAAAATCACATGATCATATCAATAGACGCAGAAAAAGCATTTGACAAAATCCAACACCCATTTTTGATAAAAACTATCAACAAAGTGGGAATAGAGGGAGTATAGAAAGACCATACATGACAAACCTACAGCGAATATCATACTCAAAGGACAAAAACTAAAATCATTTCCCCTAAGAACAGGAACAAGACAGGGATGTCTGATTTTACCACTCTTATTCAACATAGTACTGGAAGTCCTAGTCCAGTGATCGGCAAACTCATTAGTCAACAGAGCCAAATATCAACAGTACACCGATTGAAATTTCTTTTGAGAGCCAAATTTTTTAAACTTAAACTATATAGGTAGGTACATTGTTATTAACTTAATTAGGGTACTCCTAAGGCTTAGGAAGAGCCACACTCAAGGGGCAAAAGAGCTGCATGTGGCTCGGGAGCCGAAGTTTGCCGACCACGGATCTAGGCTTTAACACCAGAGAAATGATATTCAGAACCTTTCACCAGGCATATGTATATATGACATACTAGTATATTGGTCATAAAAATACCTGCATGTATATTTCCATCATAAGTATCCTAATATATAAAAAGCCAGGGGTCGTCATGACCGAAATAACCAGACAGACGACCGAACAGCAGGCTATGTGGGGTGACCAGGACGGCAGGGGGGACAGTTGGGGCGACCAGGCCGGCGGGGGGTCATTTAGGGGCAACCAGGCCAGCATAGGGGGCAAGTTGGGGGCGACCAGGCCGGCAGCGGGGAGGCAAGGGGTGATCAGGCTGGTGGGAGGGCAGTTAGGAGTGACTAGGCCTGAGGGGAGCCAATTAGGGGCGATCAGGCCAGCATGCAGAGGCAGTGAGGGGCGATCTGGCCAGCAGGAGGGGGAGGCAGTTGGGGGCGACTAGGCAGGCAGGCAGGTGAGCAATTAGGAGCCAGTGGTCCAGGATTGTGAGAGGGATGTCCGACTGTCAGTTTAGGCCCGATCCTGGGGATTGAGCCTGAACGGGCATTCAGACATCCCCTGAGGGGTCCTGAATTGGAGAGGGTGCAGGCTGGGCTGAATTTTGTGCACCGGGCCTCTAATATAGCATATATTCATTGTAGAACATGTGAAAATGACTTGTAGAATTCTCTCAAAGTTAACTACTGTTAAGAAGTTTGTTTTACTGTGTTTTCTTTTAATCTTATATTACACAATATTACACACACACACACACACACACACACACACAC